CTAAATAAGTGCCAAATCGCATTTTAACCCTGTGTGGAAAGCTAATTTAACAATCTTGCCGAATAAATTCACTTTTTGTTGTTTTTTAAAAGCTAAAATATGATGTATTTGATAACCATTGTGGGCCTGAGATACGGTAGGCCTACAGTAATGTGTTTTAATGTAAAATTTAACTTTCCACATATCCAAATAACTTTTAATTCTCATTTTGAAGGTTGAAAGGGCGATTTAATTCCGAGTATAGGCCTATATAATAGATAAAATATAATATTCATTAAATGTTCGTTCGTTCTCACACCCAAGCTCCAATCATGGTGGGGCCGAGTTATGTTGACTCAAACCAAAATTCTTACATCCCCCACAAACGAAAAATCATGGGTCCGGACCGAGAACCCAACTGCCCCTGGACCTGACCGTCGGGGATTTAGTCTTGCCTTGGGACTAACCAATGTATTGCCTTGCTTATGCTTATAGGATCATCACAAAAAGTCAGACGTAGTCAAGCTATAAAACTTATTATCAACCAGCAGTCTATCGAAAACGTCACTTGTATTAAGTACCTTGGTGTCCATATTGACAGCAATCTCACTTGGAACAACCACATCTCTTACATTTGCAAAAAACTTAACTCTTCTATTTTTCTCCTTTCCCGAACTAGATACTTTATTAACTTTCAAACAGCTCTGCTTCTTCACAACTCCCTTTTCTTACTCCATGTCGATTATTGCATTACTGTGTGGGGTTCAAAACCTAGCCACATTTCTAAAATTCAAAAACTGCAAAACAGAGCCCTTCGGACCATCCTTCAAGTTCCTTACACTCTTACTATTTCCCAACGTGCTGATTTTCAAACCAGCTGCCTGGCCTACCGAGCTTCCAACAATCTTGCGCCTGCTAAAATCTGTCGCGGACTTGCCAGAATTACTGTAAATGGTAGAATGTCCACACGAAAAATTTCAAGGGGGGACCTTGTCGTTCCAAGACCTCAATGCAAACTTTTTAAACATTCTTT